TTTAATGGTTTTAACATGTCAAATCAAAGCTCGTCATTATCGGCTCGTCACTTTCATGATTGTACAAACAATTAGGATTAGTTCAAAAACCTGTTTACCTGTTAGTTCAACCTGTTGGGCCTCTGTGATCTCATCCACAGTACGGTGTTTAATAATATTTTTTTGAGTCCAGGTAGATGTGAGGAAATAACAATAAAGTGACTATATAAGAGTCAGTTTCACTAGTTAACGTGTGACTGGTAAACTAAACCTGAATATAATATAGTCATGTGGCTCTTCAGAGTGAAAATGCGCGATAAGTGACATAAAATAAATGCTGTTTAAAAAAAAAAGAAAAAAAAAGAGAGAGATAAGAGCAACTTTATTTGTCTCAAAAATGGTGAAGCTACTGCTCTGTTAGCTTGTCGTCCATTTCTGTTTGTTGATGGCTTCAGAAGTGTTCCACCTGATGGGTTTTCATGATGCAGAGTGAAGAAAAATTTTCCAGGAAGTTGAAGTTTATTAACACACATGAATGTGGATTTGCCGCATCAGTCACTCATAGTATTTACTTTACAGAAGACACAATGATATTCATGTTGTGTGTTCTTTATAATTTCTTGTCTGCTCTGTCTGACTAGAAAGCACATGATTTTGGTGGCTTGAAACTTGCTGCGTATTGTCTGTTTTTGTAGTATTTCCAACTTCATAGATGGTCCCTTTAAGGTCTTCTATCCTTTTGCTGTTTGTTTAACCCGATTGTTTTTGTTGAGGTTTTAACTTGTTGGAAAGAGGATTGACTGAATTTTTGAAGCTTGAGTCTAAGACTTGAGTTGTATACGAGTATTTATCAAATACATCTCTGATTCAAAAATGAGGAGCACTCTACGGCACTTAAAGTTGGTAATAGCCAGCAAAATGCAGCTGAGAAAAGCTCAAAGTTATTGCAGAGCTAAAAAGTCTTTCTTTGGAGTTCCAAAAAGTTTTTTGGTGAGACAAAGGAAATTACCAAGAATGTACTTGTGCTTGGTTGTTTTGACCAACTACTAAAAACTTAAATGCCTTTATTTTGTCCCCCATCTGTCTCTCTGTCTTTACTTTCACTTTCCTGTCTGTTAACCTGAACTTTTTAGTGATTCTGGTTGGGAGTCTATCTCTAATTCTGTTATCTACTGGCCCAGTCTGGCCCGAGGGATGGATGCCATCTGTAATCCATTTATCAGAGGCGGCCGCTGGGCCTTCTTCCAAATGACAGCTGGCCTAAAGCAATCTCATTATAAAGAGCATCAAGATATAGTATGGAAATATTGGAGGCAGGAGGGGGGAAATGGGGTCTTGAGCTCAAAACAAGGGACAGAGAAGAAACACCCTGGGGATAAAACAAAACCACATTTTTACATAGTCCAAAATACAGTAATGGTGACTCTTATATTCATTTTTGATCCAGGTGGATCTAAATACACTCTGATGTCCAGATAACACCTCTGAAGGTTGTGGTTTACCTGGCCGATTTCATTTCATTATCAGATCACTAAAGCCACTGATGATACTGTCTGATTATCTGTGTCATTACAATCAATATATTACTGCTAATGAATTATTAAAAGTAATTGGGAATGAAGAAGCAGAGCGTTAAATAACTACTTGCCTGCAATGGGTTTTTTTTTATGTATACATTTTTATTATTGAAGAAAAATTAAATTATTTATTTTATTTTTGTTTTCTTGTACAGCAAATGTCATATTATTTTTCTGATATTGGTTATTGGTCTTCTGTAATATCGATTATCATTACTGGCTCTGAAAAGGCCATATCAATCTATCCCCGTTCATAATATGTGTGTTACAGTCTATTTAAATTAAACATGTTGAGTATTTCAGGACCAAAATAAAATTGTTTAATTAGAAGCTTAGCGGTTTAGATCTGGAAGGCACAGATCATTCTATTCTCATGTTTCCTGCAGTTAGCAGGAAACCATAAGAACCATCAGGTCGCTGTTGTGGCTTTTCCCTGAGACCAACTCCAGCTCTACCATTTTGGACTACAGCGGGCGATGGTAGTCCTGGTTCAGTTCTGGAAATCTGCTGCAAGCGGAAGAATCGCTCCAACCAGAACCTGTAATGTAATCATAATGCTGGATTTTCTCCATGTTTGGTCTATAACAAGCTTCTTCTAATAAATAGCCAGTTATAAAATCATCTGTTTAAAACAACAAAAAAAGTACGTACATTAGTTGTGGGTGGTATTTTTTTTAATTACTTAATTTTTTTAAGCCCAAGTAGGGATGCACCGATACCGATACTGGTATCGGGTATCGGCCTCGATACCACATTTTCTAAAGTACTCGTACTCGTTAAAAGTCCCCCGATACCGGGGACCGATACCACGGTCTGAGACCTGTCTATGTCTGACCGGCATGTAAGGGGTTAACCACAGGCGCCGAGTGCCCGCCCCCAGGCCCCGGCTGCAGCTCAGAGCTCAGAGAAGGGCGGGCGAGACAAGACAGCCGTGTGGAACTATTTCAAAGTGAACGAAGACGCGAAAACAAAGGCGGACTGCAAATTGTGCTCAGCGAAATTGTCCAGAGGAGGCTC